AGTTGAAATAATTAAAAACTTTTTTAACCTTAAAATTAAATGAATATAAATATTTATTTAATTTATATATATTTCCTTCTTTGTATATATTAAATTATATCAGCAGTTGAAAGTATGGTATATATGTTTTGTTTTTCGAATTTCGCGCAAAGCTACACGAGGACTATCTGCGCTAGTGAAAGACTAGAGGAAAGGCAGCTAGTCATCCCCATTCGCCGCCCAATCTTGGGCTACTCTTTTTACCAAGTGGGATTGACCGTCACGTTATAACGCCCCCAGTGAAATGTTACAGACATAAACTTTATCGTAAAAGAATGACAGTATTTAGTCTTCGTCGCATTTTTATAACACTATTTTCAAGCGAATATATATAAATATATATATATATTTGCCTAAACTGCCCTAGAGGGTTAATAAATGTCAGAGAAACAGACTTTCGTGACTTAGAAAAATCTCTTCTTCAGGCTTATCCAGTAATTTATATAACATTTGAGGTTCTTGGTAACATAATTTTGCTATCTGTGAAAACAGCCTTCAGTTTTATCTGCTATTTGTTTTAATTGTGTACCAAAATTTGAAATGTGAATATGTATATTTGGACATTGAAACTCTATGTAACCTTCGCTTTATATTTACTAATTTTATGTGTTTGAAATTATTACTACAAAATCTGCATACTGATGTCAGTTTAGAAAAACAAATATCATTTATTATCTATTTTTCAAGTGAAACATTTAGCAGCACATCTAAAAAAAAAGACAAGACATTCTTACCACTTTCAATGGTAAACTCTTTCTCCTTATTTATCGAATTTAAAATCCCAACAAATGTATAAAATCTTGAGTGCCCTTCCATATCATAAAACAATCATCTAGAATCTTTTTCCAAATTTTTACGTAAATTATAAAATTATCTTCAAAATAAGTAGGTAATATGTTAAATAACTGTACTTTAAAAATTCGAAACTAATATTAACGTAAGGTGGAGTGACTTTTGTACCCATTGCTGTACTAGAAATTTGATGGGAAAATTCGTTGATCATAAGTAAAAACCAATTTTTAAGACTAAATCTAAACTTTTTAATATAAAACTTCTATTAAACCTAAAATAAATTAATTCTATATATTGATACAGAACAAATACCACAGTTTTAAGTCCATAATCATATTCAACACTTGAATACAGAGCTAATACATTTAAAGAAACAAAACTCTGATTTTTTTCTAATTTTTGGGCAATTTTTTAACAAATTTAATAACGTCCCTATTAATACTCGGATTATAAGATAGGCATATTTGTGGAAATGTTAATCCTTTTGTTTATAGTTGTATTTCATTTTCTTCCTAATTATTTTCTGTTAAATTAACAATTTTAAAACAATGCTGATCTTCGATATCTGAAATATTTTTGAACTCTATTACATTTTTTTTTCCAAGTCAAGGATCTCTTGTAAAATCGCTCTCTGCTTCCTCCATACGTCATATCTTCCATTCTATTAAAGTTTCTCTGTGTAAATCTTTTATTTTTCTGTCCTTTTATCTTGGGGTGACTTTGAATATATTCA